TTAATGGAAGTGATTTGTTAATCATGCAGCCTGAAAACTAGGCTTCTGTTACACATATGCAGATGCCAGGGTCCAGGGCTTCTGCTTAGGTGTAATTCATGAGATATGCCTCACCTGTCCCAAAACAAAGATTCTGTCAAAGCTGAAACACAGGAAAGAAAGTCTAGGTATGTACTAGAGATGAGCTTCCAAAAACTTGAGTGAGATATGGATTTGGGACAGTATCTGGGTCTGGCAGGGTTGGTAGTGTTAGAAATGTGGTCACGTAGGTCAATTGATTTCACGGATTTGGAGGTACAAAGATGTAAAGCCAAGGCAGACAACAAAAGATGCTGGAAAAGAAGAAAGAACAGCTGTCGAGTGCACTTGCTGAATATCTCTACGGTTCTGTTGTGATGTCTTACATTGATTAGGGTAACCACTGCTACCCAGAAGACAGCAGAGCCTGGGTACTTGAATTCATGCAAGTCAAGTGCACGAGTGGTACTACTAGCTTTGTGTGACTTAAAATTAACTTGTATGGATGAGGTTGTGGGGGGTTTATAGCAAGATTAATGACACCGAACACTGATGCTCTACTGGCAAAGAACAGATTTATCCTAGGTTGGAAGGGAGCTCTGAAGGTAACCTGGCACAATGCTGTTCTCAAAGCAGATAAAACTGTTCAGTTAGATCCAGCTTCAAGATGAATCTGCGACCCAGGAGGGACTTGTGCCAGATAACAACAGAAACGAACCACCAGCACTGGTGAGCATCCAGAAGGTCAGAAAGAGAGCAGCAGTACATTCCCTCATGTTAAATTTGGAGCAATGCTCAGGATCCCAGATCTGAGCTGACTCTTGTCACATTACCAGCAAGGACATTTGCTGTAGGAAGTCACGGTACGCCAACACACAGGGGATGATCCAAACAAAAGCTAAAGACTAAGCTTGCATGTCAATTACAGATCAAGTCCTCAGAGACAATATCTCAAGGATTTAAATGATGCTGAGGAGGCAAATCAACAAGTTGCCTACAGTAATACATACAAAGCATGGCTGAAGTGATATAGCCAAGACAGGAGGCTGTATTGTGCATGCGGTTAGGGAACAGAGAAGAACAGTAGTAAATATATTACAAAAATGGAATTTTCTTTTGTTTTTCTTGAGGGGAAAGACTTCAGAAGTAAATAGGAAATGATTCAGGATGTACATTTATCTCACTGGTGAGCTGAATACATAAACACTGAAGACCAGCGTTAAACAGCATGTGAAATGGAGAAAGTCAATAATGAAACAAAAAATGACCAAGCTAACGAATGACGAAGGGCCTTCACAGGAGTGAGAATGTGTCCTGATTATTGATTTTGAAACTGCAGGTAGTAGTTGGAGGCTGGGAAGAAGTGGACAGTGGAAATGTCAGATATGAATTTGTGATGTGGGAAATCGGTTAGAATAATAATGTTGCTGCGCACCGCTAAGATGCCCAGCTGCAAGCACCATACAGCTGCGATTTCATAAACTTCACTGCGTTTTAGTGAGGCATTGTTATTGTCTTTTTTTGAGTGAATTCACTGAGGCAAGAGAAAGCAAATATGATTTAATTTGGGGTTCACATGTTGGATCAATTTCCTCAAGTGCTGTGTAACCACCTACCCATTATAAACTATGTCCTCTGCTGATGTCTCAGATTAGGCAGCTGAATCTCTTGGCCAGAGAGATGACACATTGCAATAACTGCCCAAAGAATGTCCCTATTTATGTATGCTCCTAACATTCAGAACCTTCCTTTCTTTATACGAATTTCTTCACATGAAGAAGTTTGCTGCAATCTTGGAATGGGATGTAATTACAGAAAACAAACTGTGAAACTGGAGGCAAAACACAAGCCACAGTTACGTGCTTGTAACCGTATGTGGGTTTTCTTTAAGAACAGAGAAGAGGTTGTTGGAGTCACCTATGCCTCAGCAGGTGACCTTCCCAACCAGTTGGTGTTGTCACAGGGAGTACCTTTAAAACTCAGATCACGTTGGCAGGCTCCAAGCTGGTGCAGCCAGCCAGGGGAACCCTGAGAAGTCTTCTCTCACAGCTCTGCAAAAGGCAACCAAAACCTCAGTCCTCTCCTGAGGGAGGTCAGCTGTAAGCACTGGGTGTCAGCAGGAGGAGGAGATGGTCACATGGGTGAGGAGCTTGCTTTACATTCACCAACCTGGCAAGAGGCAAACTAAAGGCTGAGGAAATCCCAGCAGTTTAAGCAGCTCTAGCTCTTGCAAGGAGCCACTTGTGAGGCTCAGCAACTTCTGGTGACCCACCTGGGCAGGTGCAGGCAAATGTGGTCAAGCCAGGGAGCCTGGGAGTAGAAGTAAAGTTGAACTGTGCAATCTCTCTCCCAAGATGCCTGATGAAGGCAGACGTGGGACTGCCAGAGATGTGTGAGTCATAGCAAGCTCCGAGAGGGAAAAGGTGAGCTGAAGGGAGGATAGCGTGTTTATACCTCAGGATCAGGGCATGCTGGGATTAGCCTCTGCTCTAGTGTGCTGTTAAAGTTGCTCCTTTTATTGGAGCACTTGGAAGTTCTCTGCAGTCAGTACAATCTCCAGCATGATCTTACTGTCTTTATTATTTACCCATATCAATGTGGTGCCATCTCCATCCCAAAGTTAAGACAGGATAATTGTGTGCTATATTTTTAAAAGCAGGTGCCATCTCCAAACCCATCAGGTATCTCCAAAAGCTTTAGACAGTGTCCTGTACCCTAAAAGTTGTAGGCTGTATATAAGTATTTCACTAGTGGTGTGCAGCTGGTGTATTGGATATTACATCTAATACTGCAAAAGCTCAACCTCTTCATGTGAGAAAAGACAGAAAACTAGGTAATACAAAGATTTTCAGAAGGCTAAAGAAATGGGTTTCTCGCCACACACCGTGTTCAGCAGTTATATACAAATGGTTAGGGTGATCTGTCAATGTGGGAGTTCAATATTTTACTCACACTAGATTTCCTAAAAATGTTTCTACATACAGTAGGTATAGAAAATAAAAGTAAGTGTACCTAAATACTCACTGGGAGAAAATAATTGTTTATTTTCTATCAAGAATGAATAAAGAAAAATAAGAGAAACAAATGCTTTTTTAATCTTTGCAGAAGAGCTGTTTCATTCTAATTTCCCAGCCATTCCAAGGTGGTGCACTGGTTCACTAGCAATAAAAGCACTGAAAAAAATCCCAACAGTTGTCAGACCTGTTGTTTCTCTCAAAATAGGTAAGTTCCAGGTTCTAATCAACTTTGGAAGAAGGACACTCTGGAAAGATCATCCCAGGGATTTGATCACAGGCTAATGATGACCTTACAGAAATCTGTAAAGATTTAAGTTCTTAAAAGTTCTGTTTACTGTAGTTGTTAATTTGCTGCTTTTCCATTACTGTATTTTTCTCTTCTGCACATTCATCAAGGAAGGCTGTATTTGCCTAAATGGTTTAACTGGAAAATGGAGATTGCTTTGTGCCCATGCCATGTCCTTCTGGCCTCCAAGTTTTCCTTAGTTCCTGCTTAGAGTCTTCATGTTTTGTTGTTTTTACAGTCATGATGCAGATGACGACTGAGATTGCCAGGAACGTTCAGAGTATCAAACTTACACTCCAAAAGTATTCTAGTTAACTGCTCCTCCTTCACACTTTCTGTTTGGAAATAGAGGATTTTCCCTGGCCTTACAAAACACCTTTGATTGACACACAAGCTGCCCATGTGCCCTTTCTTGTGCTGCTCACCTGTGGGAGCAGCTCTGCACTGGTGATCTGATGGCCAGAGAGGGAGCAGGTGGACTGTGCTCTCCTTCGTGCTCTGAAGATCGGTCAATGAAAGCTTCCTGAGATGGGTCTTCTTCATCTGACTGCCCCAGAAACTCTGTTAAGATGAATCAAGATATGGTATCAGGCTTAGTTAATTTAAAAGCACCAATCAAGTTGACAACTTAGATGTCAATAAGATGTCCTCTTTTGTAACGGATAAAATTGAATGGAAAACCATATGCTTATACAGCTTACCCTTGAGTTTTGCCTTGAAAAGGAGCACAAGTAGCTAACGACCAGCAAAAATAACATATCTAAGAGTCTTTGGAAGGGAGTGAGTGAGTGTGTGTTGGCTTTAGTTAGCAAGGAGGAAATGCCTTCTCTAAATTGTCAAATACAGAAGGTCTAGCTGGCTGCCAAAGTCTGCTGTGTGTATTCCACTGCTGCCACACAGATTCAAGTCTTACTATTGGACTGTTCCCCACAAGGGTATGTGTAACTCCTTCCTTTAAAAATAAAGACTTCTCTTAGCTTTGTTTCAAAATAATTTGGGTCACAATCAAGACCTGAAGTCTTCAAGTAGGTGAAGGAAGGGCCTCCAATTCTCAAGTTCCAGCCTGAGCCTTTTGGGGAAGGAAATTGTTTGAAAATACCTGAACCACTTAAAAATATAGAGGAGGAATTGCATATTCTAGGTGTGAGACTTAAATAAAGAATTTAATGAAACCACAGGCCAGCAGAGTTTGGATTAAGGAAAAAAATCCTGTTACAGATAAAGACTTTAAAAGATTTTTCTCAAAGTCATAAGACCCTTTTGCCTTTATTTCCCCCCGCTTCCCCCCTTTTTTAATGCTGTTTTAATGCCTCTTGTTCTCTGCCCTCCCAGATCCTGTATAAGGTAATCTCCACCAGCTTAGGAGGGCAAATCTACTTGTAAGTGTTTCTGAATCTCCAAGTCCTAAAAAGCTAACACTGTCAGACTGTTGCAGACTATTTCTACTCTTCATGTACCAAAATATTACTAGCATCTGTGGTGTGAGAAAAGGCGAAGTGTGGCAGCTGATTTGGCTTTCTCAGGTAACTAATATTCTCTGTCTGTGCTGCTGTTTCCCACACATGCAGCGATGTGGGAAATTGCTGAAAACAACCAACTTGGTCAGGAGCAACACACCTCCAAGCATGCACACCACATTACAATAAGTAAAGGAGCTAAACTGGTCTTGGTGCAATTTCTCCTCTACCTTGAATAAAAAATCCAGAGAGAAGAAAAGGAGGTGAAAAAAAGGTGTAGGAACAATGCTCTACATCTAGGAAACTCAACTCCAAGGCAAGCAAAGTAGGTTTCTCTGGAGACCTCTTCTTGGAGCCTGATGCAGAGTGAGCAGCCAAGAGAAAGACATTAGCAATATGGAGAACTTAAAAAGGAGAAACTGATTTTGATAGGCATGAAGAACTCTTCAAAAGGGCTTAAATAAAATTCCTACTAATGTGTTGTGTGGGCAAAATCCACCACAGCTCTTGTGGGACAAACTTTGACTACCTCTGCTTGGGAGCACAGTTGTCACTGCCATGTTTCCACCTATGAACCAAGTCTTTCGTCCTGAAGAGCCTTCCTCTTCACCTTTTAAGGAGGGAAATGTTTGTTAAACCTTTGTGTTTTCTAAATGTCAAAGCTAAGACATACAGTGTGAGTCAAGCTGGTGTAATTTATCTTATTTTCCTCTCTTTTTCCACCTGCTCAGTAATGTCCAAGGCCTACAGAACTTGCCCATTAAAGTTACAAACTTTCATCAATATATGATGCCTATGGCTTCTCCTTAGTGATCACTCCTGAGGCTGATCTAGCTCCAAGTCAGTGGCGTTTCAGAGCGTAAAACCCTGAGAGATGCTAAGAAAGGAGTGCATATTGAAAAAAAGAAAAAAAATAGGATTGGAGCTGCTTTGTCTTGATCTCTCTCCATCATACTATTAATTTGTATTTTATTATACCTGCTGAGAACCAGATGTGAATAAATCACAAACTTCTCATATCAATCACTTCAATGTAACTCATGCATATGCTTTTGGTGGGACCTAGCTGTTTTGTAACACGGAGTGGGCTACAACTTGGAGGTACCCAGTCTTCATGTAGCATACTTCTAATATATGAATGCTATGGGCAATTATAACTATCAACACTGATTTTGATTTTTGCTCTGTGGATGCAGCACAGCTATACCTTATTAAGTAATACTACTAGATTCATAGGAAACCCCTGGAAAACAGAGCAGTCTGTCATACACAAGCACATTTGTAGCCAGAACTGGGAAATGAGGGGGGGTTCTTAGCCACAGGAGTGAAAATAGATTTCTTTGCACTTTCATATCTAAATTAAATATCTGAGACTGACCTCAAGTTACGAGGATTGAACCTATTCTAGTCGGGGTATACAACTGCAGTGTTGCAGTAGAATGTTAGATAGGATCAGATGCCAGGAGTGGTTCAAAGCCACAAACCCATCAGATACGAGCTCTAGAGTAAAGAAATAAACATTTTTGTTGTGGGACATTGGACTGTGTTCCCTGTGAGAAATGCTATAGCAGGAAAAACAAATGCGCAAGGAATACTGTTTAAACAACACAGCCCTTCCCAAACCAGAGGCAACATATCCTACACTTAATTAAAAAGGGAAGCATTTTGGCAACAGCGTCATAGAGCTGTGAGAGGGTGGTGGTCCTCACATCTGGTAAGAGCTCTGGCTGGGGTTTGATGCTTAATAAAGACTTGACTTTCTGCTAACATTGGAGGTATCACAAGTTGCACCTAATGTTTTGTATTTGGGTATTCTGGAATCTTCTTCTGGCTTGTTGCACAATAAACTCTTGCTGGTTTTAATTCTAGCCTAGGATTTGCCTATCATGTGAGGATCTAGAGATTTGAATCTGAATTTGAATTTTAAAAACTCAAGAGTTGGTATCACGGCTAATGTTGTCTCATCATTAAAGAAATTTATTAGATGCAATAGTATGAATTATATTGTGCTAAAAATCTTTATCTACAAAATCCCATCCGTCATGATCAGTATTACCATAATATTGTACACACACAACCACACAATGTGCATTCTGCATTTCCAAAATTTGCTGGTAGCTGCTATTGCTACATCTAGCAATTGTCTGAAATAGCCAAATATGTTTCTTTACAAGTCCAGTAAAAGTTTTCCTATGCTTTACATAGAAAGCATCCTATGTAGAGCAGGATGCTCTCTGAACACCATACACAGCTGATGAGATCTCCTTTCCCTGCTCACGTATGTGTCATTATTTAACCGTATCTATACTCTTTTGGATTTGTGTCTGCAAGTCAGAAGCTGTTTCCATTCTCCAGTATCCTCCTCTGGACTTCTAGGGATAAAAATGCATTTTAAAACGTGCAATGACATGGTAAAATTAAAACCTTCTTTTACTATTGTTTGCAAAATTGACAGCTCCACTTAACAGAAGCCATTAAATTATTTAGAAAGTAGCAGCTGCTCTTGTAAAAATGCATCCTTTTTTTGGGCATGAAAAATAAACTAGTTGATAAGCGAGAGATAAGCTATTTGACTTCTTCTTTGTGTGCCTGGCATGGTATGCAGAACCAATTCTGTACAATCTGATGTTTACAGAGCAATCGTAATGTACGACCTCCTTAGGCAACAGGGACACAGGAAGCCTGTAAAACGCTGAAGCAAGCATTTAATCAGAAGTCTTCATGCTGATCTTTGAAAAATTCAATAAGTTCAAAAAAATGTAACTCCTTCTAAAGATAAAATACCATTTTTTTTTTTGCTTCAGGAGTTGCAAATATATCCCAATGAACTCCTAGTGAACCACACAGACTTCAGGCATACTGCTCTTTTTCTTTAAAGAAAGTATATAGTAGGGTTCTTCTGAAAGAAACAAACTGAAGAAATGCAAATGGTTAAGCAAAGCAAGTGTTGCAAAACAGTATAGTTTAATAATAACCTAAAGTATCACACTTTTTTTAGGCATTTAAATAGCTACTTCCATGTGAATAAGTTTGTATCTATCTCCTTTTATTATGCATTAACTTTTTTTAATTTAATTTTTTATTTTGAGCTGTTGAAATCAAACTCTTGAGCTTTTGCGAGTTCGTTGGGGTTTTTTGTTTGTGTTTTTTCTTTTAACTTTGAGACAAATGATGGCTGCAGGAGGCATGATACTGAGCTTGATCTTGTACATTATCTGGTTGCTCCAACTTAACTCTACCCTGGCTTTTCTCAAACCACACGCAGGTATTTCTAAAACCACTGGGTAAAATTCTTTTGGTATCAAAATTAGTGGGAACTTCCATTGCTGACTCAAGCACCCTCAGCAATTTTTTTTGGCTTCAATTTTCTCCAGAAAATGTCTTTCTAAAGAAACAAATTCTAATAGAATTGTTTAGTTTCAACAAACACCACACAGTTTTGTCTGTGTGTGTGTAAAACTGTAACTAAACTTCTCTGCTTCTTTTGGTCTAGTTTTCCACAGCTTCTTATTTTTAGATTATTTTTGTGTTGTTATGTTAATTCCCAATGCTGACACGTTTTAATTTGACAAATATAAATTGTCAAAATATTGCTTTTATAGTACTCTTGAAACTCATTGAGAACAGCTGTTACTGCTGAGGGAGCTGGAAAAGGTACATTAAATCAGAATATCTCCCATTTGTGTTGTAATTTAACAATTCAATACCTGAGAAGATAAGGCACTTCAATCACTACTAAGTAGAAGCAGCCCTTAATGGTAGCATAACATGTCATTATTTCACTAGTGGGATATTAGGTGTATTAGCAGCAGCAAAACTGTTTCAGTGGGTGTGACAGGAAATGTAGGAATTAAAGTAAAAGTTATGATGTGATAAAACTAAAGAAGTAGTTAACATCTATAAACAACTCCTCAATTTTTAGCATAGTGGTTACACTTCACTTAGCAGACTTCTGCAGCTTGCAGTGAACCCTGGCTTTAAAACTTTCTGCAAATGGAAACGCCAAGTCTTCACTAGTTCTGGCTGAGATTTCAACCTCTACTACTCATTTGCTCTGCTAAAATCATACACAAAATTAAGCTAACCACTATATAGGCTGAATAG